ACCTCGACTCTATAACCCTACCCTCATTAACACCCGATGGGGCTAGCCGACTGTCCGAAGAAATTACCACAGACGAAATAGCAAAAGCACTCACAACACTAAAACCAAACAAATGCCCGGGCCCAGACGGATTCTCGGGGTTATATTACAAAACCTTCGCGTCGACCCTGCTCCCGCAACTAAGCAAACTCTACAACTCACTCCTAAAGGGGGACCCCCTGCCCCCAGACATGCTGCAGGCGAACATCTGCCTCCTACCAAAACCCGGCAAGACCCACCTCGATCCCGGACATTACAGACCAATATCCCTACTAAACGTAGATGTCAAACTATTCACGAAGGTGATGGCAGAAAGACTTAACCCCCTCCTTCCTCGACTTATCCACCCAGACCAAGTAGGTTTTATCCCAAACAGACAAGCCAGTGATAACACAAGACGCACCTTCGACCTTATCTGGTACACCAACCGCAGACGCATTCCGACCTTGCTAATATCCCTAGATGCCGAAAAGGCATTTGACAGACTGCTATGGCCCTTTCTATTCGCAACCCTACAGAAATTCGGTTTTCCACCACCCTTCCTGGACGCACTGAAGACCCTCTACTCCTCCCCCACGGCCACTCTTCTCCTTCACTCGACGACAGCCCCTTCCTTCCAAATTAAGAATGGCACGCGACAAGGGTGCCCACTCTCCCCCATCCTTTTCGCCATCTCCCTTGAACCACTACTCCAAGTCCTGCGTAACCACAACGAGATCCAGGGAGTTCGAATTAGGGATGAAACCTATAAGATTGCGGCGTATGCAGATGATGTACTTTTGACAATAGTAGACCCGCTGAACTCCCTACCACCTCTGTCCACAGAGCTCACGAAATACGCACAACTCTCGGGATACAAACTCAACCTAGGAAAAACCGAGGCCCTCCCAATCCAAGTAGATCAAACCACTCTCCAAAGCCTCCAAACAAGGCACCCGTTCACGTACCAGACCACAGCCCTTAAATACCTAGGTATCACTCTCCCAGCGGACCTAACGCAAACCTACAGCTTAAACTACACACCCCTGCTGGCAACGGCCACACAAGACCTAGCAAACTGGAAAAACATGTCGATTTCATGGATCGGTCGAACGACCTCAATAAAAATGAACCTCCTCCCGAGGTTCCTATACCTCTTTCCGGCCCTTCCAATACCGATCCTAGCCTCTGACTTTAAAAAAACTACAAACTCAAATAGACAAGTTTATATGGGCTGGAAAAAGAGCACGTATAGCCCGACGCACACTGTACATACCAAACAGGCAGGGCGGACTAGGACTTCCCAACCTCACCCAATACTTCTACGCGGCACAAATAGCACAGACAATCCAACTCCATGCTGCCCCCGGCCTTAAGAGATGGGTAGACCTAGAACATAATATATTTGGTTCAGATTTTCCCTCTCTCTTCATCTGGCTCCCAAAAGACGCCAGGCCACCGACTCCCATCACCTCCCCAGCTATTCTCACCACGATAAACATTTGGGATAAAATCACCCAAAAACATGACCTTATCTCCCATCCCTCCCCACTAATGCCCATCCTCCGGAACACTAAATTCACACCAGGTATGCACCCGAAGGACTTCGTCCGTTATGAAGACAACGACCTGACCCGCATTCACCAATTTTACAAGAACCAAACAATCATACCCTTCACGGAACTCCCTCAACAGACCCCCTTCATGGCCCGCGACCTCTTCCGATACCTACAGATTCACAGCTACATAGACAAACCAGCCCTAGTGAAAGCGAGCAACACCCCTCTCACACCGCTGGAAAAAGCGTGTAACACACACCCACTATGCAAGGGACAAATATCAATATTATACTCCTTACTAAGTAAGGTTCTCTGTCCTATACGGCCGCCTGGGAGAGAGACCTGGGCCCCATAGGGGACCAGAGCGACTGGGCAGACATATGGGAAGCTACAGCAACGGTATCGATATGCGTTAACCACAAAGAGCAAGAGTACAAAACCCTCCTCCGATGGTACGTCACTACACTACGCCTGAAAGAAATGAAACAATCAGATAATGATCTGTGCTGGAAAGCCTGCGGGAACAGAGGTACACACACTCACATGTGGTGGGAGT